TCCTCCTTTGTTCTTAAACCATCTGGCTCTGGTGGAGGTGACTTCTCCTCACTTTGCCCCACTCCAAGGTCAGGAACATGACCCGGACCTGGCCTAACAGAGCCCACCCCTAAGTGAAGTTAACAGGACCCATTTCCAGGATTGCTGTAGACACTATCAGGTGAGAGCCTTGCTCTGCTGGGGTATCTCCCCTGCACAGAGAACCTGCCTGGAAGAGAAGACCTCCGTGAAGCACAGAGGTCAGAGATTTGGGGTGGGACGGACTGTGGAGAAACAGTTCAGGTGTGTGACATTTCAGAAGTCATGCAATGTGGCTGTACCTTAAGCTACTTGGGACTCAAATTTCCTTTTCTTCGTAAACTGATTTCTTTTTCTTTTTAATTTGTTTGTATTTGCCACAGTTTTTTAAAGCATAATGTGACTAGAGCACTACACTTCTATTCACAAAACTTGCTCTGACCTACTTTCAAACAGCTTTACAACATGCCTAGGTAGCTTGTATTTTTGCTATGCCAAACAATCTCTTTCTTTGGAGACAAACCCTATGATAGTTACTACCATCATGTTGGTCAGCTTAGCATACTAACTTCTAGAGGCCGTGCATGCAGTTGATTACTTCAGGGGATGTTAGGCTTAAAAAAGTAGATCTTAGGGGATGAAGGTTGTTTTAACCATGCATCTCAGAATACTTGAGCAACAAAAGATTCAGTCTACTTAGGGGTCTGCTGAGAGATAAACACTTCAGACCATAAAGCTAACAAACATTAGGCTACATGTATCTTACAACAAACATAACCCCACTAGAGGCCCGGTGCACAAAATTCGTGCACAGGGGGGCAGGTCCCTCAGCTCGGCCTGCACCCTCTCACAATCTGGGACCCCTCAGAGGATGTCCAGCTGCTGGTTTAGGCCTGATCTCACTGCGGGATCAGGCCTAAACCATCAGTCGGACATCCCTCTCACAATCTGGGACCCCTCAGAGGATGTCCAACTGCCTGTTTAGGCCTGATCCCACAAGCAGTCGGACATCCCTCTCACAATCCGGAAGGCTGTCCGGCTGTCCAGTCTAATTAGTATATTATGCTTTTATTATTATAGATTCTGTTAAAACAGGACAACATAGAAGTAGGAAAGAAAAATGAGCTCAGCTAGAGTGCCTGGAGTATCACAGTATCATACACGTAGAGGGGGAATAAAATATGCCATACATATTTTTAAAATGTTAACAAAAATAAAAAAATTCCTTGAAGATATATTATCCAAGGGAAGGAAGGTAAAGTATTAAACACGTGCGCAGGTGTCAGTCTGTTTCCTCCATGCGTGAGGTGTTGTCTCCTTCCAGGGGCAGCATCTCTTCGGTCACAGCAGCACTGCTCTCGTTAGCAGTGGGGTCCTCTTCATCGATACCAAGACCAAGTTTGATCGTCCTGTAGATCCTGTCAGTGTGTGTCTGGGGGTCTTCCAGACTGAAGTCAGAGGACAGGAGTGCAGTCTCATAGCGCAGGATGGCCGGCTCCTTCACAGACTTGTCATTCTGTCTGCCTCCACCTTCTGCCTTAATGTCTCAATGATGTTTTGCCATAACAAAATACCATACATGGTGTGGCTTAAACAACAGATATTTGTTTCTCACAGTTCTCTAAGATCCAGGTATCAGCAGCAATGGTTTCTCCTGAGCCTCTTTCCTTGGTTTGCACTCAGATGGCCAACCCTCATATCACACATCCCTCGTATCTCTTCTTATGAGGACACCAGTCCTATTGGATTAGAGCCCTACCCTTATGACCTCATCTAACCTTAACTACCTCTTTGAAGGCCCTGTTTCCAAATACAGTCCCATTGGGGGGTAGGACTTTAACATATGAATGGGGAGGGAGACACAATTCTGTCTTTAGCAACTGTCAATCCCTGACCTGCTTTGAAGTGGGACCCAAGCAACTCTTTCCTCCGAACAGTCTTCCATGTTGAAACCAGAAAGCTTACTTAAAAGCCATCCTATTAGTGTCAAATTCCCAGTATTAAGTCCTATAATGGTGCCCTCAGCTTTCAATACAGTTCAGATTGCTTAAATTAACCCATAAGCGTCTATGTGGCATTGACATCTTGCTCAACTCTCTGGCCTTAAATCCTGCTATGTACAAGCCACCCACCCCACACACTGCCTTTTCCCCCTCCACTCCCCCCACACACACACACTGAGTTTCTTCTTTATGGAAGTGATTACCACTTCCCAATTTCAGGTTTTGTTCTGTGGTTTCTCATCTGCTCTTCTGTCTATTGCATTCTTAAAGTTGATTTGAGAAAGAGAAGGAGATTAAGAGAGAGAAACATCAATTTATTGTTCCATTTACTTATGCATTCATCGGTTGATTCTTTATGTGCCCTGATGGGAGATCAAACCTGCAACCTTGGCATATCAGGACAACACTCTGACTGAGCTACCCATCCAGGACTACCTGTTGTATTCTTTATACAGTTGAATCTTATTGCTATTCAAAACTTGGCTCGAGCGTTTCTCCTTCTAGAAGCCCCCTTGGGAGAATCCTCTCCTTCACAACACCTACGCTGTGTTCACAGTCATGCCTCAGACCGTGTCACTTGGCGTGTCTGTACCATCTGACCCAGCATCTCTTTAATAGCAGGGACCGTGTCCTACTTCATCCAGTTTTATTCCTGTGCTTCACACCGTGTCTGGAGTGAGGCAGAGGAAGGGACTATGGAGCTAATTTGAACACTGATGTGAGTGAGATACTCTCCATCCCATCTCCAGGCAAGTAGCGCTGTGTGGGGCTGTGTGGGTCCCTGCCTGTGCAGATGATCGCGGGGGCATCTTTTCCCATTGATTTGCTCGCCTATCACTAGCTGGCCCTGGCTGCTGAGCTGTCTTGCTAATGGTCATGACCCAACCTCACTTTTTTTTCTTTAGTACATTTATGTATTGTAATATGCTTGCCACTGTACCAATATTTATCATATTATATAATTGTATTATATTATCTATATTTATAATGTGCTGTGATACTATGCTATGCTGATCTCTATGGCTTATTTACATTCATTGTAAGTTTTGTACTCTTAAACATTGATCTTATCCCCCCAACACCCATTCCTGGGTAACCATTATACTCTGTTTTTTTGTAAATTTGACATTTTTAGATTCCACATATAAGTGATATCATACGGTACTTGTCTTTCCCTGTCTGCTTTATCTCATTTAGAATAATGTGCTCAAGGTCCATCTATACTGTAAATAACAGGATAGCTTCTGTTCTCATGGCTAAATAATATCCCAGTGTGTATATATGTGCCAGATCATTTTTAGCCACACATCTGTTGATGAGCATTTAGGTTGTTTCCATATCTTAGCTATTGTGAATAATGCTGCAATAAAGTTGGAAGTGCATATATCTCTTAAAAATCTTGTTTTCATCTCTTTTGGATATATACCCAGAAGTAGAATTGCTGGATTGTAATGGTAGGTCTACTTTTTGTTCTTTTTCTTTTTTCTAATGGTAGGTGTTCTTTTAACTTTTTTAGGAACCTCCATATTTTTTTCATAGTGGCTAGACCAGCCGTGGGCAAACTACGGCCTGTGGGCCAGATCCGGCTCGTTTGAAATGAATAAAACTAAAAAAAAAAAAAGACGGTACCCTTTGATGTAATGATGTTTACTTTGAATGTATATGAGTTCACACAAACACTCCATCCATGCTTTTGCTCCGGCCCTCCGGTCCAGTTTAAGAACCCATTGTGGCCCTCGAGTCAAAAAGTTTGCCCACCCCTGGGCTAGACCAATTTACATTCCCACCAACAGTATACAAGGGTTCCCTTTTCACCACGTCCTCACCAGCACCTTCTGTTTCTTGTCTTCTGGATGAAAGCCATTCTAACAGGTATGAGGTAGCTATCTCACTGTGGCTTTGCTTTTCCCTGATGATTAGTGATGCTAAGTATCTTTTCATGTGCCTTTTTGCCATTTTGATGTCCTCTTTGGAAAAACGTCTATTGAGTTTCTATACATTTTTAAATTGAATTTGTTTGGTTTTTGTTATTCAGTTGTATGAGCTCTTTATATATGTTGCATGTTAACCCCTTATCTGGTATATGGTTTGCAAATATCTTCTCCTGTTCTGTCGGTTGCCTTTTCATTGTGTTAATTGTGTCTTTGGCTGTGCAGAAACTTTTGAGCTTATAGCCCCATTTGTTGATTTTTGCTTTTGTTGTTTGTGCTTTTCGTGCCATGTCCAAAAAATCATTGCCAAGACCAATGTTTCCCCTACATTTTATTCTCGGAGTTTTGTGGGATTAAGCCTCACATTTAAGTCTTTGATCCATTTTACGTTAAAGTTTGTGAGTGGTGTGATATAGGGACCCAATTTTATTATTCTGCATGTGTTTCTCTAGTGTTCTCAGCACTATCTGTTGAAGAAACTATTCTTTTCTCATTGGGTGTCTCGGCTTTTTTGTCAAATACTCATTAGCTATATATGCCAGGATTTAATTCTGGGCTATTCAGTTTCATCAGCCTGTGGGTCTATTTTTGTGCCAATACCATACTGTTTTTATTACTAGGATTTTCTAGTATAGTTTGAAATCAGAAAATATGATACCTCTGGCTTTGTTTTTTTCAGGATTGCTTTGATTATGTGGTCTCTAGTGGTTCCACACAAATTTTAAGATCGTTTCTATTTCTGTGAAGAATGTCTTTAGTATTTTGATGCAGATTGTGTTGCATCATGGCTTTGGATAGTATAAACATTTTAACAATATTAATTCTAACAATTCATAAACACAGACTGTCTCTGCATTCGTTTGTGTCTTTGATTTCTTTCATCAAAGTTTTGTAGTTTTCATTGTTTAGCTTTTTCACTTAGGAAAAAATTTAAATGTTTCATTGTTTCTGTTACTATTGTGAATGGGATAGTTTTTTATTTCTTTTTCAGATTAGTATAAAGGAATGTGGCTGATTTCTATATGTTGATTTTGTATCCTGCAACTTTACTGAAATCGTTGATTGGATTCAACAGCTTTTTTCACTGACTCTTTTGGATTTTCTCTATATAAAATCATATCTTCAGGCTCACTTGCTGATCCGGTGGCTACCAGGCGTGGAGCCCGGCACCCACGGTGATGGGAAATCCAGTTATCAAAACTGGCTCCAGAAAAGAGAACCTAACATCCATTAACAATGGAAGCATTTGAGAACATTACCAAAAAGCCACCCTTCCTCAAAACACCAGGCCCTGATAGTGTTACAGGTTTTAAAAATCCTGCATGAAGAAGATAGATCTTAAGCCACATGATGGATTCAGAAGCTCATAAAAAGAGGTCGCCAATCATAACATCTTCAAACCAAGATACATCACCTCATATTACAGATATTGGTGGAATAAAACATTATTTGTGTGGCTGCGGTGCAGCTTTCAGCACTGTAGCAATCACATTTCCCATTCAGAAGGTGCTCTTTCGGCAACAGCTGTATGGAATCAAAATCAAGGACGCAGTGCTTCAGTTGAGGAGGGATGGATTTCGAAACTTGTATCGTGGAAGTCTCCCCCCATTGATGCAGAAGACAACTTCACTGGCACTTATGTTTGGTCTGTACGGGGATTTATCTTACTTTCTCCGCAAGCATATCCATTCCCCAGATGTTGCAACCGGTAGCATGGCCGCATTACTTGCAGGGGCAACAGAAGCAATTTTCACTCCGTTGGAAAGAGTTCAGACACTGCTTCAAGACCACAAACATCATGATAAATTTACGAACACTTACCAGGCTTTCAAGGCACTGAAATGCCATGGAATTGGAGAGTATTATCGAGGCTTGATACCTGTTCTTTTCCGTAATGGGTTCAGCAATGTCCTGTTTTTTGGCCTTCGGGGTCCCATTAAGGAGCACCTGCCTGCCGCCACAACTTACAGCACGCACTTGGTCAATGATTTTATCTGTGGAGGTCTATTGGGTGCCATGTTGGGAATCTTGTTTTTTCCAATTAATGTTGTAAAAACTCGCATGCAGTCTCAGATTGGTGGGGAATTTCAGTCTTTTCCCCAGGTTTTCAAAATAATCTGGTTAGAACGAGACAGGAAACTGACAAATCTTTTCAGAGGTGCCCATCTAAATTACCACCGGTCCCTCATCTCTTGGGGCATAATCAATGCAACTTATGAATTCCTGTTAAAGGTTATATGAAAGAAATAATCAACTAAGTTCCACTTACCAATTGACTAGATCTTCAAAGAAGAATGTAGTTTGGCCTCATTCCCAATTGGCCAAATACAAATTGGTGTAAATTCAGGCCACAGTGAATTATGGCAAAGCTGTTTCCCTTAAGCACCAACAAATTCAGAATAAAAGGTTTTAATAGGAAAATTTAAGGGTTTGGGGTTTTTTTCTTTGTTTTTTAAAATATGTTTCTATTGATTTTAGAGAGAGGATGGGAGAGAGAAACCTCAACGATGAGTGAGAATCATCAATTGGCTGCCTCCCGCATACCCACTATAGGGATCGAGCCCAGTGCCCGGTACCCAAGCATGTGCTGTGACCGGGAATCGAATGGCAATCTCCTGGTTCCAGGGTCGATGCTCAACCACTGAACAACACCGGCCAGGCTAATTTATTTAGTTTTGTGCTCATTGTTACCTGAGGACTTTGGGCTAATTGCTTGGTTAATAGCTGTCTATCTGACGGATGGCTTTTGATGAGGAAACTAATAGCCAAGATGGTCTTTTTCCCCCAAAGTCTTTAAATCTTCTGTATTAAAACATAAGTGGCCATGACCAGCCAGAGAAAAGGCTCCTAGGGCCCTTTGAATTCGTCAGGCTTGCTTTTATTACTCCATTTCTTGCTTCTCTCCTCTTAGGAGGAGTTGCAAAGTGTAGTCTTTGCTAAACTGAAGCATATACACAAGAAAGCTTAATGGACGTAGCTTTTCATGAGAAATTGCCTGTATTCGTTTTGAAATGAAGCACCTGTTGGGACGGTCATTCTCCACGCTGCTTCTATGTAGGCATGGTAGACTCCAGCAGCTAATGAGAGCTGCCATTTTGCTTTCTAGATTTGAAAGTTTTCTGTTTAATTCTGAATGTGACCTTAAACCTGTCCAAAATATCCTTGTGTTACTTTCACTTATTTCATTGCCAAAAAGCGGGGAGACTTAAATTTTGTCATAGGCATTTTATCTTATTAAGTTTCATATTAATTATATAAAGATCAAACTCTCTTTAGCTCAATTTCTTTGAATTATTATTGCCAACTTAGCAAAAAGCTTTGGGCGGGGGCGGGGGGGTTGTCCCCTTTGGGTACTAGTTTATCTTACTCAAGTATTCTGTTCTTTTGAAACTCCTTTTTAAAAAAACACTTCCATAAAATTTTATTTTTAAAGTCTGTTTAATAGGATCCCAGATTTTTATTTCTTTCTGGTTTTTTTTTTAAATATATTTTATTGATTTTTCACAGAGAGGAAGGGAGAGAGACAGAGAGAGTCAGAAACATCGATGGGAGAGAAACATCGATCAGCTGCCTCCTGCACATCCACCACCGGGGATGTGCCCGCAACCCAAGTACATGCCCTTGACCGGAATCGAACCCAGGACCTCTCAGTCCGCAGGCCGACGCTCTATCCACTGAGCCAAACCAGTTTCGGCTCTTTCTGGTTTTTCAATGTTTGGAGGAGAGGGGAAACTCAGGAAAGCTTTCACCCCACCGTGTTAGCTATCTTTTTTATTTATTTATTTGTTTGTTTGTTTGTTTAATTTTGGAAATAGAGACTTCTATTAGGATTTTTACGTTTGGGGAACCCAATTTTACCATTTTATCATTAAAAAAGTTTGAGAGGATAAGATCTAAATAAAGATATTTGAAGAGTTAATTTTAAAATTCTAGAAGTTGGTAATAGCTGGATATTACCAACAAAAACGTATTTGTCAAAGGAATCAGATTTTTAAATGTATTTTCCTAATAAATAAGGCAAAATGATTCATACAACACTTGAATGATTAGTAAAACATGAAACATCCTAGAAAAGTGGCTTATTTTTTAAAAACCTACATCTGTAAATATGTAGTTAAGATTGCTTTCCAGCACCTGGCATGGCAAAGTAGTTAGGTTTCTTATTACCAGTTTTTCAGCAGTCTGGGTAATTGCATATGAAAATGTGCACATAATGACCAAAACAAAATCAGGGTCTCAATTGGTGGTTTATTCGGTTTCTGGGCAGATCGTCCAAAACAGATGTTTACCTCTTCATGCAGTATGGCTGGTCAAATAAAATGAACAACCTTCTGCCAACCAAAAGAATTAGGAAGCATCATCAAGCATTTGTTAGTTAGGCAATAACCCAGCTCAGGAGATTTACAACAGCTCTGCTTGACAATGCTAAGCTAAAAATGGCAGTTTACTTTAGCAACCAAGGTGCAGGTGTAAGGATTTCAGAAAACTGACACCAGATAAACGTAACATCCTTTGGCCTATCAAACAGAGTCAAGAGTGAGGATTGGAAGTGGTTCTTTCAGAAATAAATGACATTGGTACGTGACCCCCTCACTTGTGTGTGTGCCCCTGAGTACTGCCTGTCTAGGTGCTCGGCATGTGGCAGGCGTGCTGGCCGGGGGCCGTGCTCTGGCCCTGGGAGGGGACTCCACGGGCCTTTGGTTTCGCAGGGCTTGCTTTTGTCTTTACACTCCATGCAGGTGGTAGAACCCTAATTTCTAAAGCACTTCGTAAAATAAAAGTGAAGTGAGAATGTGAAGGAGGATGCTTTGGTTTCTGCTGTCTCAGTCTTCAGCAAGTAAAAATTTGACTTCTTCTTTTCCAATGTCGATGACTTTTTTTTTTCTTACCTAGAAGTTTTAGCTAGGACTTCCAGTGCTATACTGAATAGGGGTGGTGAGAGGAGGCATCCTTGTTTCTGATCTAAAGGGAAAAGTCTTCAATTTTTCTCCATTGGGTAAAATGTTAGCTGTGGGTTTGTTGTATATAGCCTTTATTATGTTGAGATATGTTCCTTCTACACCCAATATGTTAAAGATTGTTTTTATTTAATCATGAAAGGGTGTTGTATTTGTCAGATGCTCTCTCTACATCTATTGAGATAGTCATGTGATTTTTATCTTTCATTTTATTGGTCTAAAGCATCACATTAATTGAGTTGCATATGTTGAACCATCCTTGCATCCCAGGGATAAATCCCACTTTGCCATTTTGTATAATCCTTTTAATGTGTTCTTAAATTTGGTTTGCTAATATTTGGTTCAGAATTTTTATATCTATATTCATCAGGGTAATTTGTCTATAGGTTTCTTTTTTGTGTTTTATTTTGTTTTGGTATTAAGGTAATGTTGGGTTTGCAGATGAGTTTGAAAGTGTTCCTCCTCCTTGATATTTTGGAAGAGTTTGAAAAAGATTAATGCTTCTTTGAATGTTTGGAAGAATTCACTAGTAAAAGCCTACTAGTCCTGGGATTTTTTTATTATTATTATTACTGATTCAGTGTCATTACTAGTTATTAGTCTGCTCAGATTTTCTATTTCTTCTTGATTCAGTCTTGGTAGGTTGTGTGTTTCCAGAAATGTGTTATTTCTTCTTGGTTATGTAATTTGTTGGAATATAATAGTTCATAATAATCTCTTATGATCCTATGACTTTCTGTACTTTCAGTTGTAATGTCTTCTCTTTTAATTTTATTTGAGTCTTCTCTCTTTTTTTTTTTTTCTTAGCTTAGCTAAAGGTTTGTCCATTTTGTCTTTGACAGAAGTAGCTCTGACTTTTATTGATACTGTCCATTGTTGTTCTGGTCTCTTTCACTTATTGCTGTTCTGATCTTTATTTCCTTCTTTCTGCTAACTTTGTTCTTTTTGTTCTTTTTTTATTTTTCAATTACAGTTTATGTACAATTATTAGTTTCAGATGTATAACCCAGTGATTAGACATTTATATAACTTATGAAGTGATCAATCACCCCAATAAATGTAGTACACATCTGATACCATACATAGTTATTATAATATTACTGACTATGTTCCCTATGATGTACTTTACATCCGCCTTACTATTCTATAACTAGCAACTTGTACTTCTTAATCTCTTCACTTTTTCACACAACCCCCCAACCCTTCTCCCATCAGAATATTCTCTATCAATTAATTGGTTTTGTTGTTGTTTAATTTTTAAAAGTTATTTATTTATTTTAGAGAGAAAAAAAAAACACTGATGGGCTGCCTCCTGCATGCTCCCTACCAGAGACTGAGCTTGCAACCTGGGTATGTGCCCTGACTAGGAATTGAACCCACCACCTCTCCATGCATGGGACGATGCTCAATCAATTAAGGCACACCAGCCAGGGCTTGTTTTTGTTTTTTAGATTTCCTCATTTAAGTGAAATCATATGGCATTTGTCCTTCTGTCTGACTTATTTCACTTAGCACAATGCCTTCTAAGTTCGTCCATGTTGTTGCAGGTGGCAAGATTTCATTCTTTTTTTAGGGCTGAGTCATTGTCCATTGCATATATGCACCACTTCTTTTTTTAAATATATTTTATTGATTTCAGAGAGGAAGGAAGAGGGAGAGAGAGAGATAGAAACATCAATGATGAGAGAGAATAATTGATTGGCTGCCTCCTGCACGCCCCACACTTGGGATCAAGTCCGCAACCCAGGCATGTGCTCTGACAGGGAACTGAACTGTGACCTCCTGGTTTATAGATCGACACTCAACCACTGAGCCATGCTGGCAGGACTATGCACCACTTCTTTATCCACTCACCTATTGATGGACACTTAGATTGCTTCTATATCTTGGCTATTATAAATAATGCTACAATAAACCTATGGATGACAGATATGTATTTATTTTCATTTTATTATTCATATTTTAATTTTTTGCTTCATCTTCAACATGACCTTTTAACATTTCCTTAAAATATTTTTATTTTATTATATTTATTGGGGTGACATTGGTTAATAAGATTGTATGGGTTTCAAGTGTACGTTTCTGATACGTGATCTGTATATTGCATTGTGTGCCCACCACCCAAAGTCATCTTCAGGACCATATATTT